AGGTGCATATATGCTTACTATAACCCACTTTTCACATCCAACCTTTATTTTACTCCACATAATCCTTGAATTAATACATTTATAGTCCTTCTTTTCCTGCCATATCTTATCCTTCAACATTATTGCTACTCCTTCTTTAGCTCTAACTCTATTTGAAACCCCTGACCTAATCCCATTTATTCCTCTCCACTGAAACTCTCCCACCCACTTCAGCTTTGTTTCACTTAAAGCCAGGACATCCAGCTTCTCATTCATAACATCCACAATCATCTCTTTCTTATCATTTGCACAACATCCATGCACATTCAGACTTCCCACTTTGACAATTTTCTTCTTATTATTCTTTTTAGTAATCTTTACAGGAAAAGGGGTTACTAATCCATTGTTCCCGGCATTTTAGTTGACTTTTACAACACGCATGGCTTACGGAGGAAAGATTCTTATTCCACATCCCCATGGATATAAAAGGAAAAGTAATAAGACCAAGAACTATTAAGATAAAATCAAAGAAAACTTAGATGAGTGTGTATAAATAAATGTGTACATGTATGTGTAGTGTGACCTAAGTGTAAGTAGAAGTAGCAAGACATACCTGTAATCTGGCATATTTATGAAACAGACAAAAAACACCAGCAATCCTACCATCATGTAAAACAATTGCAAGCTTTCGTTTTACACTCACTGGGCAGGATGGTAGTACCTCCCTGGGTGGTTGCTGTCTACCAACCTACTACCTAGATATATTACATAATATTACATATACAGTGGACCCCCGCATAACGATCACCTCCGAATGCGACCAATTATGTAAGTGTATTTATGTAAGTGCATTTGTACGTGTATGTTTGGGGGTCTGAAATGAACTAATCTAATTCACAATATTCCTTATGGGAACAAATTCGGTCAGTACTGGCACCTGAACATACTTCTGGAGTGAAAAAATATCGTTAACCGAGGGTCCACTGTATTAGATATATTACATAATATTTGAGCATTTGAGCACTCTAGGACAACTGTCAACTATTGACAATTCTGTAGCAGCCACATCACCACAAGAACCAGAGCCATCCACCTCAGCCAGTAGGACCACATCCACCTTCTCTACACACTTTCATATGAACAAGCACTGACAACTTGAATGTAAGATAAGAGAAACTATTATTTCTGACAAAAGATATTTTATAAACTTGTTTGGCAAATGGGAAATGTCTGGGATGTAACCTTTTTTTTCTATATGTTCTTCACATCCTTGAACACCAATTTTCAGAAATATAACCTGCTCTAATCAAGGGTCTACTGTATACTAGCACCTATAAACATACCATACACAGGAGGGAACTGCTCTACAGTGCTTTGCTTTACATCATTTTGCTAATGCAGCAGTTTTCAGTTATACCCCTTCTTCATTTATTCAGACTTCTAACAATAAATATATTCACCACTCACTTTAAGCTAAGGCTGAAAATATTTTAAGTAATGTGTGTACTGTATATACACTTTGTAGATCTAGCTCTATTGCTCACTTAATATATGACAGTGTAAACATGTTATCAGGCTTTTATATGCATTTGAAAGTGAAAAAAAAAATGTGTCACTTTACAGCAATTTTCTCTTTACAGCAGTAACCTGGAACCTAACCTGCTGTATAAGCAAGGCCTCTCTGTATACAAGCAGCTAGAACTATACAGTATATACAAAGAACTAGAAACATAAAAGCAGCTAGAAACATATTCAGTAAAGCAGGTCCCCATTATGATGCAAAATGATTGTCTGGAACTTGGAATCTATTTTTTCACAGACACCCATGTTATAATCAGAGATGTGTTCTCCAGCCATAATATTCCATATCTAATTTCATATATTTTTTAGCAAAGAATATTTACCCAAATAGTTTACAATCAGAAATGTTCCTTTTCACTTACAAATAGTATTAAACATTGTTTAATTAATGTACACATATTAATTAAATAAAACTGAGCTACAATGCAGTACACAGTAGAGAGAGGTAGGGGTAGGCAGCAGCATGGCAGTTTTGGACAGAGGGTAGAGAAGGGTGGGGACAGGTAGGGTGGAGAGGGAGAAGAGAGTTTAGGTCTGGGAGGGGGATAGATGGGAAGTGGGGTGGGGAGCCAGAGGGAATATAAGTGGGATGTGGGGTTGAGGGGAGGTGAATGGTGAGCTCTGCTGTTCTGCTCCTTGTACTGACACCTCCAATACACAAGCAGCTGTGAGAGGTGTAAGCAGAGATGATGCCTCACCCACTAGCCTCACTCACAGAACACTTCACACCAACACCACTCAAAAAAACAAATGTAATTTTATATCTACAGTTTTTAACCAATTTTTACCAAAGAAAAGTAAATCCAATACACATGAATGACATCAACATATTCAAAATACAGGTCCGCCATCACAAATCCGGCAACCAGTTATTCGGTTCCTTCAGTTATTCAGCACTAATTTTGGCTAGCATAATTTCAAATTTCCAGGGTCGCCACACCAACCTGCTGGTACTGTTTGGTGGCACTACTTGCTGCATAAGCCATTCCAATTTCTTTTTCTCCATTTATTGTTTTAACCTGTTTACTTTTAGCCCTAGCCATGGTTCCAATGAATAAAAGAAATGCTTCTCATTATGTAAAGTACCTACACAGTACATTATCTATTAAAGATAAGGTGGCTTTGAAGCCACTGTCAGTTGCCATGATCTCAGTCTCATGAAGCAGGAGAATATGCTTTATTACACTAATATCAACACTACAGCTTATTTGCCTATCACAATTGATCTAATATGACATAATAAACAATATAAATAACATAAAACATGTTAAATACTCCAGAATAAAAAGTATTTGGCATAACACCAAGCAGTTCAACGGAGGTATGAAGAGGATTTTTTTATTTTTTTTCAACAAGTCGGCCGTCTCCCACCGAGGCAGGGTGACCCAAAAAAGAAAGAAAATCCCCAAAAAGAAAATACTTTCATCATCATTCAACACTTTCACCACACTCACACATTATCACTGTTTTTGCAGAGGTGCTCAGAATACAACAGTTTAGAAGCATATACGTATAAAGATACATAACATATCCCTCCAAACTGCCAATATCCCAAACCCCTCCTTTAAAGTGTAGGCACTGTATTTCCCATTTCCAGGACTCAAGTCCGACTATATGAAAATAACCGGTTTCCCCTGAATCCCTTCACTAAATATTACCCTGCTCACACTCCAACAGATCGTCAGGTCCCAAGTACCATTCGTCTCCATTCACTCCTATCTAACACGCTCACGCACGCTTGCTGGAAGTCCAAGCCCCTTACCCACAAAACCTCCTTTACCCCCTCTCTCCAACGCTTTCGAGGACGACCCCTACCCCGCCTTCCTTCCCCTATAGATTTATATGCTTTCCATGCCATTCTACTTTGATCCATTCTCTCTAAATGACCAAACCACCTCAACAACCCCTCTTCTGCCCTCTGACTAATACTTTTATTAACTCCACACCTTCTCCTAATTTCCACACTCTGAATTTTCTGCATAATATTTACACCACACATTGCCCTTAAACAGGACATCTCCACTGCTTCCAACCGTCTCCTCGCTGCTGCATTTACCACCCAAGCTTCACACCCATATAAGTGTTGGTACTACTATACTTTCATACATTCCCTTCTTTGCCTCCATAGATAACGTTTTTTGACTCCACATATACCTCAACGCACCACTCACCTTTTTCCCTCATCAATTCTATGATTAACCTCATCCTTCATAAATCCATCCGCCGACACGTCAACTCCCAAGTATCTGAAAACATTCACTTCTTCCATACTCCTCCTCCCCAATTTGATATCCAATTTTTCTTTATCTAAATCATTTGACACCCTCATCACCTTACTCTTTTCTATGTTCACTTTCAACTTTCTACCTTTACACACATTCCCAAACTCATCCACTAACCTTTGCAATTTTTCTTTAGAATCTCCCATAAGCACAGTATCATCAGCAAAAAGTAACTGTGTCAATTCCCATTTTGAATTTGATTCCCCATAATTTAATCCCACCCCTCTCCCAAACACCCTAGCATTTACTTCCTTTACAACCCCATCTATAAATATATTAAACAACCATGGTGACATTACACATCCCTGTCTAAGACCTACTTTTACCGGGAAGTAGTCTCCCTCTCTTCTACACACCCTAACCTGAGCCTCCATATACTTGCAACATCTGCCACATTGCTCCTCTATCCACTCTATCATATGCCTTTTCTAAATCCATAAATGCAATAAAAACTTCCCTATCTTTATCTAAATACTGTTCACATATATGCTTCAATGTAAACACCTGATCTACACATCCCCTACCCACTCTAAAACCTCCTTGCTCATCCGCAATCCTACATTCTGTCTTACCTCTAATTCTTTCAATTATAACCCTACCGTACACTTTTCCTGGTATATTCCTCTATAATTTTTACAGTCTCTTTTGTCCCCTTTCCCTTTATATATATGGTTAATTTTATTTAGTGTATTCTAACCTAACCACTCTGTAATCTGACAAACTCAGTAATCTGGTACACTACAGGTCCCAATGATGCCAGATTTGTGATGGAGGACCTGTATCACTGCATATGGTGAAAAAATGACTGAGAAAAAACAATAAATATAATTTGGCTTTAGCAAAATCATAATTATTAAATCAACAATTCTTTACCATTACAGTATTACCTAACATGCATGTACAATATTACCATACATGCATAAAATGAATATATACAAAAGCATTAATTCATTCTGTGACAAAATAGCTAAAAAAAAAAAAAAATATTTTTATTGAAAATAATTTGTGTGAATATTTGCAATTATCATAACCAAATCAGTAATCATTAATTATTAATTAGTTCCTAAGTGTTAATGTCATAAATGCAGAACACTGTAAGTCTGAGGCCTGTATACAAACAGCTAGAAACATAAGCAGTACAAGTCACTAATACTGTACTTTGGATCTGGCCATTTTGATATCAAGCCTTGAAGATGCTGATCTGGTTGACTTATTCTTACTGAAGATGGATGTTTCATCATAAAAGGACCTAAATGACTTGCATCTGAAATGTAGGTCAGAATACAGTATATTTTATATTACAGTATTATACAGTATTTGTCAATGTAAGAAACTTCCTAACATAATTTATGAGCACCAGTGTCATTTAAATTTATAATCCTCCCAAACTTTACATTTTAACAAAAAAATTCAAATCAGTTTACATATTTGTTTTAACAAAACCATTTCTCACCAATTCATTGTGACCCTATGTGCAGAAAACATTAACTATCACTTGATGCCTACTTTCTGTCCAGAAGAGTACAGATATCATAACACAATGGCATCCCACTGAACTGCAACATCCCCAACCAACTTTCACTCTTAACCCCTAAACGGTCCAAACGTGTATACATGTATATGCGTTTTTACGCGTAGCGCCCAAAACATATGTATAGACGTTTTAATTTTCCTGCCTCCAAATTTGGCATGATTGGCCTGAGATGCCTGGTCAGCATAGAATTGGTCTTAACACTCAGTGTGCACAGTATTTAAAAAATCTGGGACCATTTAGTACCCTGTGGGAGCGCCAGTTAAATTGAGCGCCAGCTAGAGCAAACAGTGTGGCAAACACCAAGGATTCACTGATGTAATGTCATATTAACACTCCTCTTTTAAGAGGAAAGTCATGTTAACCCCAAGTTTAGGGTCTGCTGATCTCTGTCCATCTGTCTCTGTCTGTCTCTCAGTCTCTATCTGTCTCTGTCTGTCTCTGCCTATCTGTCTCTTGTCTATCTGTCTCTGTATATCTGTCTCTGTATATGTCTCTGTATATCTGTCTCTGTATATCTGTCTCTGTCTATCTGTATCTGTCTCTGTCTATCTGTCTATCTGTCTCTGTTTATGTCTCTGGCTTTGTCTGTCTCTGTCTATCTCTTTCAATCTGTCTTTGTCTACCTCTGACTCACAGGTACACATAAATACAAGTATACGTAGTATAAATTACCTAGGATAACCCAAAAATCCAGACAAAGTGCTATACTCTGCTTGAAGATGTGAGTAAACATGATGATGCAGTCTTGTGGCTCTCTCTGAGACAGAGAGCTAGACAGATAAACAGATAGACAGGGAGCTTGACAGACAGACAGACAGACGGAAATGTTTGTGTACCAGCAAAAATAAAGCAGGGGGATGGTCATCTAATCTTTTCTTATCAGCTGCACCCTCCCCACCCTCGTGTATGCTCATCAAATGTCAGCTCTTATCAGATGTTATCTCCCCTTATCATGTCACTGTCAGGGGTGGACTTTGTTTTTCATGCTTCAAGGGAACTTATTATTAGGCATTATCATTATTACGTATTATTATTATTATTATGTATTACAGTGCACCCCCGAGTTTCGTGATTAATCCGTTCCAGAGAGCCCGCCGAAGGTTGAAATTCACAAAACTCAAAACCATTTTCCCCATAAGAAATAATGGAAATAAAATTAATCCGTTCCAGACACCCAAAAATATTAAAATACATTTTTTTTTAAATTAAATAAAGATTTACATAATGAAAACAATCAGAAATCAAGTATATGCATTTAAAAAAATAATAATAATATTACACTTACCTTTACTGAAGACTTCTGCGTGGATGGAAGACGGGAGGAGGAGATAAGAGGAAGGTGTACACTATTGTTTGGAAGGAGAATCTCCTTCCATTAGGACTTTAGGTAGCAAGTCCTTATCTGGGGTTGCTTCCCTTCTTCTTTTAATGCCACTGGGAACAACTTGAGTTATTGCACCCCTGTCGCACAAAATGTCTGTCCAGAGAGGTCTTTTTCTGGCGTTTCTTTAAGATTTCCCTGAAGTGGAACACAACACTGTCATTGTACATGTTGCAGATATGGCTTGTTTCAGCTTGGTCAGGGTGATACTTTTCAATAAAACTTTGCAACTCATTCCACATTCCACACATGTCCTTAATCACTGAAGAATGCACCTCATCCACTCCCTCTTCCTCCTCCTCTGAAGCAAGTTCCTCGGCTGTGGTCTGATGCTGTTCCAGTTGAAGCTCTTGCAGTTCGTCAGTGGTTAGCTCTTCCCTGTGGTCCTCCACAACTCTTCCACATCCCCGTCACTCACTTTATTTACGAAAGGGCTTGCACTAGCTTTCCTTGGGTCCATGATAACTTATTTAGCAGTTGCAAGCACAAAAAACAATGGATTACTATGAAATGTATTGTATGAACCCACGGGGTGATGGTCACGTGTTGGTAAACAATGGCACACTGAGCGTGAATGGCGTGGGAGACTGGCTTGGTGTGCACGGTGACAGGCGGACGGGTACCGGACGGTTGCTGAAACAAGAGTCTTTTCACGAAACTCCAGGCCAAATTTTTCCAAAAAAACTCGCCGAAGGTCGAATTTCACGAAAGTCGAGGCTGCCGAAACTTGGGGGTCCACTGTATTATTATTACATATTATGTATTATTATTACATATTATTATTATTACATATTATTATTATTATTATTATTCTCCTCCTTCCTCCTTTTCCTCCTCTTCCTCTTCCTCCTCCTCTTCTTCCTCTTCCTCCTCCTCTTACTCTTCCTCCTCCTCCTCCTCCTCCTACTCATTCTCCTTCTTCTCCTCCTCCTCCTCCTCCTCCTCCTCCTCCTCCTCCTCCTTCTCCTCCTCATTATTATTATATACTTCCACATATCCAAAACATTGCTGGGACCTATAAATACTTTGTTTATATTCCAAGACAATAGTAAATGACCAAGGCAGGTGTAAATGTCCACCTGTCAATGTGTTTGTGACAATTTGAGTACAATTTCAGTACCTAATACTAGTGTCAGAACAAAGACTGGTTATGAAATGACAAGAACTACTATAAATTGTAATTATCAGAGCATAAAAATTACAGTGGTCCCTCGTTTTTCGTAGTTAATCCGTTCCTGGAGTTGCTACTATTATCGAAATCTACGATTTTCGAATCAATTTTCCCCATAAGAAATAATGTAAATGCAATTAATCCGCTCCTGACACCCAGAAGTATTAAAACAAAAATTTTTTTTACATGAAATATAGATGTAGTACATAAACAATACAATGGGAAATGATGAATGAAACATTAACAGCATAACACTTACCTTTACTGTAGATTCTTCTTAGTGTATGGGAGACTGGAGGAGGAGAGAGATTGGATTGTTTACAGTTTGGAAGGGGAATCCCCTTCCAGCAACATCTCAGGTACCAATTGCTTTTCTGGGGTTGCTTCTCGTCTCTGTTTCTTAATGCCACTAGGACCACCTTGAAAGTCACTGGAGTCCTGTCTCGCAAAATAACTGTGGAGAGAGCTCTGTTTCTGGTGTCTCTTTAACACTTCCCTAAAATGGCCCAAGATTTTGTCATTGTACATGTTGCCGACATGGCTTGCAACAACCTTGTCAGGGTGATGTTTCTCCATAAATCTTTCCATCTTACCCCACATAGTAAAAATCTCTTTAATTTCTGAAGAAGGCACCTTCTTCCATCTCTCTTCCTCCTCCTCTGCAGCAGATTCTGAGCTGCGATCTGTTGCTGTTCCTGCTGAAGCTCTTGCAGCTCCTCAGTGGTGAGCTATTCGTTGTGGTCTTCCACCAACTCTTCCACATCCTCCAAACTCACATCCAACCCTATGGAACTCCCCAGTGCCACAACTGATTTAACAACAGACATAGGCTCATCAGGGTCAGTCCCAAACCCTTCAAAATCCCTCTTGTCGACACAATCTGGCCACAGTTTTCTCCGAGCAGAGTTCAAAGTCCTGGTAGTCACTCCCTCCCAAGCCATACCTATAAGGGTTATGCAATGGAGGATGCTGAAGTGTTCTCTCCAAAATTCCATTAGGGCCAAGTGAGTGTCTGTGGTCACAGTCAAGCACCTGTGAAACATTACTTTGGCGTAGTTTTTTAAAGTTTGCAATAGCCTGCTGGTCCATGGGCTGGAGGAGAGGAGTGGTATTCGGAGGCAAGAACTTTACTGTGATGAACCCAAACTCCTCGAAAATTAGGTCATCCAAGTTTGGAGGATGAGCAGGTGCATTGTCCATTACTAGCAGGCATTTGAGATCCAATTTCTTTTCCAGGAGGTAATTCTTCACACTAGGGCCAAACACTTCATTGAACCACTCGACAAAAATTTCCCTCATGACCCATGCCTTACTATTAGATTTCCAAAACACACACAATTTACTCTTCATAACATTGTTTTTCCTGAACACTCTGGGATTTTCAGAATGTTACACTAGTAATGGCTTCACTTTGAAATCCCCACTAGCATTAGCACAGAACATGAGCATCAGCCTGTCTTTCCTAGGCTTGTGTCCTGGCATTGCCTTTTCCTCCAGTGTAATGAAGGTCCTCTTTGGCATTTTCTTCCAAAAGAGACCTGTTTCATCACAATTGAACACTTTTTCAGGTTTCAGTCCTTCAGACTCTATGCACTCCTTGAATTCATGCACATATTTTTCAGCCGCCTTGTGGTCCGAACTGGCAGTCTCACCATGCCTTACCACACTGTGTATGCCAGTACGGTTCTTAAATCTCTCAAACCAACCTTTGCTGGCCTTAAATTCACTTACATCACCACTATTTGCAGGCAATTTCTTTACCAGATCGTTGTGCAACTGCCTAGCCTTTTCACAAATAATCGAAGTCATAAGAGTATCTCCTGCTAATTGTTTCTCTTTTATCCACACCAATAATAACTTCTCAACATCTTCGAGTACTGGTGATCTCATTTTTGTCAGCATATTTACCCCTTTACACAAATAACCCGCACATAAAAGAGAGAAGCTTACGACGACGTTTCGGTCCGACTTGGACCGAAACGTCGTCGTAAGCTTCTCTCTTTTATGTGCGGGTTATTTGTGTATCGTTCCAGTCACGGTATTGTGCCTTTTTGTTATTTACCCCCTTTGCAACAACAGCATTCTTGATTTCCTCTTTCTTGGCCACTATGGAACAAATGGTTGTGTAGGGTTTCTTATACATCCTGGCCAGTTTGGCCACACTTGTGCCACTTTCAT